CATTATGGTGAATCATATTAAGGAAGGGATCCTGGTTCAGTTGAAAATACTGGTTGTGAAGTCAGGATGCAGGTTCAAATCCTGCCTCAGATGGGTACTGTCCCTTGGTGCCATAGCTAAGTCCTAGTGTCATTGGCCTCAGTTTCCTCCTCCATAAAATAAGAGGGTTGACCTTAGATGGCTTCTTTTTTAAAAATAATATTTCATTTTTTCCTCAATTACATTTTACATTTAAATTTACTTTAAATTAAATTAATTAATTTTTAATTAAATTTGCATTAGCAAATTGTAATTTACAATTACATTTTAATGTTTAAAAATTTTTTTGAGTTCCAGATTTTATTCTTCCCTCTTTCCCTTCCTTCCTCCCCAAGACAGCAAGCAATCTGATACAGGTTATACATGTGCAATCACGTAAAACATATTTCCACATTAGTCATTTTGTGGAAGAAAATTTGAACCAAAAAAAAATACAAGAAGGAAAGAAAGTAACAAATAGTATGCTTTGGTCTGTATTCAGATACTATCAGTTCTTTCTCTGGAAGCAGATAGTGTTTTTCATCATGAATCCTTTGGAACTGTTTTAGATCATTGTATTGCTGAGAATAGCTAAGTCATTCACTGTTGTTCCTCATACAATATTGTTGTTTATATGTGCAATGTTCTGGTTCTGCTTACTTCATTTTGTATCAGTTCATGTAGGGCTTTCCAGGTTTTTCTGAAATCATCCTGCTCGTTATTTCTTATAGCACAATATTATTCCATTCCGTCAGTACTTAGATGGCTTCTAAGGGCCTTCCAACACTAAATTTATGACTATTTACTCTTTTGGTACAAGTCAAGATTGCAGCAAAACTCCTTTCTCTTTTAGATGTATGTTTCCGAATGAATCAATGTATTATTTTTTTGAATTGATTTCTGTAGCCTGACTTGCAAAATCAAAGAGCATCCCAGAAAGTAATTTCGCATACTAATCACAGATATATGTAAAAGTAGAATTCTGTGACTATTAGAGGGCAGTTAGGTGGTGCCACAGTGCACAGAGCGTCCAGACTGAAGTCAAGAAGACTTGTGTCTTCCTGAGTTCAAATCTGGTTTCAGACACTCCCTATGTGACCCTGGATAAGTCACTTAACCCTTTCCTCCTCAGTTCCTCATCTATAAAAATGAACTGGAGAAGGAAGGAAATGGCAAACCACTCCAGTATCTTTGCCAAGAAAATCCCAAATAGGGTAACGAAGAGTCAGACGTGACTGAAATGACTGAACAATAACCATGACTATTAGAAAGACCCTTCATTTTACAATATGGAAGCCCCCCCTTCCAAACTGAGGTATGAAGACCTTAAATGACTCTGTTCAAAATCTTGCAGATAGTGTAAGTCATTGTTAATTAAAATTGGAGTGACCTTAGTAGGAATCAAATCCACTCCCTTTCTTTTACAGATGAGGAAAATGAATTCCAGAAAGAAGCAACCAACCTACTCAAAGTCACAGACGAGAGAAGATTCTAGATATCACGGGGCAGGTAGGTGGCATGGTGGATAGAGCACCGGCCCTGGAGTCAGGAAGACCTGAGCTCAAATCTGACCTCAGACCAAACACTTGACACTTACTAGCTGTGTGACCCTGGGCAAGTCTCTTAACCCCAATTGCCTAAAAATTAAAAAAAATAGATTCTAGATATCAGGTCTCCTGTCTTTTAGTTTCTTGGGTGTAATGAGACTCAAACAAGATACTGGATGTAAAGCATTTTGCGAACTTTAAAGAGCTATATAAATACCAGTTATTATTACTATTATTATTTTTTTCAGTATTATTATTAAGGTGGTCACTAGACCTTCAGTCTGGGGATAACTTCCTTGCCTGAGCCTTCCACTACACTCTTGCTGAATTCAAGCAATGTTTATGGAGCCATATGGGGTGGTATGCTGGTATATATTTAACAACCAATCTCTCCATGAAAAAAAAAATGGACACACACACTTTCAAGTTTAATTTGCATTATTAACACTTTCTTAAGTCTAAATTAGCAAAACAGGCAATCATGCCCTGATTTGTAACTTGCTGATCTTGAAGGTGTAAATGCTTACAGTGAAAATTTAATAATCTCTCCACAAGGGTGAATATGCCTGTTTAGCTCTTTCCGTGATAGTACTTTGCCTTCCTTGGTAATATTTGGATTATAAAATTGAAATAGTAAGAAAAAAATCAAGAATTTAAATTAGAATCTGTATATGTAATAACAAATAACATTATAATCAGATGGATCTGTGATCTTATCCATCTGGCTTCTCCCTCTCTTCCAGTAATGTAGATTGCAACTCATCCAGGTCTCTCTTGTTGAACCCATATTTAATACTTGTTGGTGGATGTCTACACTTAATGCTGTTTCAGTTGTGTCCAACTCTTCACAACCCCATTTGGGTTTTTTTTGGGAAGGACACGGGAGTGGTTTGCTATTTCTTTCTCCAGCTCATTTTACAGAGGAGGAAACTGAGGCAAACAAAGTTAAGTGCCTTGCCCAGGGTCACACAGGTAGATAACAAGTGTCTTAGGCTTCATTGGAACTCAGATCTTCCTAACTCCAGCCTGGACGGTCTATACGCTGGGCCATCTAGCTGCCCCAAACACTTAAGGGGAGGAGGACAAAGAAAAATTATTTTCTTGGGAAAGCCCAAGAAGAAACTGTCAATCAAGAGTGCTAAAAGGCATCAGGATCCTGGAAGACAAAGGAGGAGGAGTCAGGGTACAGCTGTTGGAAAACATCAGGGAAGGGAATATCCAGGGGGAGTGGGTGGTCATTGGTATCCAATGCTGCAGAAAAAGTCAAGGAAGGTGAGGACTGAGAAGAGGTCAGTGAATTTTGCAGTTAAGTGCATTGGTGACCTTATGGAACAGGATCAGTAGAGTGATAGGGAGGGAAAGTAGCTTGTAGGAGGTTCATGAGTGAATTGACAATGAAGTGCTGGGAGATTACATACGACAGAAGTTTAGCAGAAAGGGGAGAATGAGGACGAGGTGAGGTGGGGTGAGTAGTGGTGGTGGTGAGAGGGTCAAGGGGCAGTTTTAGGATGAGAGACCCAAATCTGATAAACGCTGAATAACTAAGAGGCTGATATATAATACACAATTAAAGCAAGACTGAATATTTTTAAATGACTATCACACATTCACTTAAAGTATGCTATACCAGTCACAAACATTCAAAATTCAGAATTCAAATCAGTGAATTGTGGAAGACATTGTTCATGTAGACCTTTTGAGCTGTTAGAGCTAAGGGTATCATCTAGGGATCGTCTTAGGTATCATGTTGGTCAGGAGTTCTTAACTTGAGGTCCACTGACTGCCAAGGGGTGCTGGATGGATTATAAGGGTTGGTGAACTTGTATGGGGAAAATTACATCTTTATTTCAATAAAAATTATTTCCTTTGTCAACTTTTTTATGCATTTAACATCATTACTCAGAGAAGGGGTCCATAGACTTCACCAGACAGCCAAAGGAGTCTGGGATACAAATATGGTTAAGAGCTTTTGATTATCAATCCCTTTACTTTACAGATGAGGAAACTGAGTCCCAGTAAAGTGATAGGGCTTGCTTAAAGTCATATAGTGAGTCAGTTTTGAGTTGGGACTACAACCCAGGTCAGTATAACCACTATACCATATGTCACCATTAAGTTTCCAGAACTTATTTCCTGAACATTATAATTGTAATATTGTATATATGCATGTATGTATGTAAGGGTATGTATACATCCATATCTATATTTCCAGTTCTTTAGATCTTGTCCTATTATGCATATAGTAAAAATTAACTTATTAATTGAAGGCATAAGAGCTAATATGAATGAGTGAAAAGTCCATGTTAGACTTTTTTAAATGTAATTTTATGACTTCTAGGTATAGAACTGAAAGTAATTGCTAAAATAAAAAAGTCTCCTAGTAGTAGAATGTCCTTGGAATTGGTTTGTTCTCTTGAGTAGGTCAAACATCTCTCTCCATCTTTAGCTTGTCTGCAGTATGGCTTTGCTTGGCAAACTGTCCCTTTACAGAAAGCTTAAAGTTAAACTTTGCTCCAACCCTCAGTGGAATTCCTTTTCAAAATTTATAGAGCTTAGAGCAGTAAGGTTTTTCTCTAGTTAGTTTAAATAGAGTGAAGCAGTTTGGTATAATGGATTATACTCTTGCCTCAGAGTCAGGAATACTTACTTTCAGATTCTGCCTCTGATACATACAAACTGTGCGATCCTGAGCAAATTACTTAATTTTCTGTTCCTTAAGAAGACTTTTAAAGACTATCTGCATGGATGAAGGGAGTCTCCACACAGGAATTTCTCTACCTCAATGAAATGGCAGGTCAGAACCAAAATAAAGCACTTTCTATTACTGATAAGTTTTAGAAAGGAAAATGAAATTCACAAACTAGAAATCTCATTTCTCTAGAAAATTCAGTATTGGAAACCTTATACTACTAATTAAGTATATTTTTCTTATCCGTCTCACCTACTGTTCAAAAGAAATGACTATGATAATAGATTCCCTGAGGCTGCATCTATATTCAATCCTTTGGGGTTCCCCAGAACAAGGGTAAGATCTGCTCTGGATATTTAGCAGGGCACCTTTCTAATCTCAAGACAGGTTTTCCTTGCCACCTTGCAGTCTCAGACTGCGTCCCTTTGTGGTCAGCCTGTGTCAGATCAGAAAATTCAAACTTATTTGACTATTAAAACAAAAGTAATTGGAGATCTGTGACAAACCAGTCATACAAAGCAGTGTTGGCTCCTTCATATTCTTTCCCGTCACTATCTGGACTGAATTATTGAGAGTCACAAAAGAATTCCACAATTCCTTGCCCTCCCCCACGGCGCATTGTCCTGAATTTCCTTCCCTTAAGGGAAAATAAAGCTCAATCCATAGGGTCTAAGTGGTACTTCAGGTGTGAAATCACACAAAGTTTTTGGTAAACCTGGAAAATAATAATAATGATAAAAAGTTACCTCCTTTTCTGAATCTCCTCCACGTATCCCTTTGCAAATGGGTGGAGACCAATTACATTGCACAGTGTCTCCAATCTTCTTTTGCAATGTGATCCTGCCTTTGGTGACACTCTTTCTAAGAAGCTGGTGTTTGCTGCTTCTGCCAGTGGCCCTGCTGCCCTGCCCCCAGCGGGTATATGACACAATGCCACTTGCAAATGAAGGGGGATGGTCCAATCAGAAGGTGCAGAGAAACTCTGCAGGGAACCTGAGGGTGAATGAATAAATAGAAAGAACCTACAGGCTTCCAAGCCTTGAAGTGGTGAAGCTGAGCAGGGGAAAAAATGTGATTGCCAGAGAAACCCATAATCCACCCTCTCCTGCCTGGGGCCACTGAGTCCCTTCTCTGTCCTGGGATAGCAGCAGCTTACAGTCAGCTGCATTTTTTCCCCCTCCATCTGTTCCTAGCATGAGTTTTCTCCTGGCTAAAATGCTAGGGCTTGGAGCCATACCTATTTAGCAAATCAAAAGACAAACAACCTCTACATTACCCCGTGACCTGAAACTCCTTTGGTCTCCCTGGATGCCCAGTTTCTAGTTCCCAGAACAATGACCTTGAGAGGGTCAGAGAGAGGGGCAAAGACACAGCCCTGAACATACTGTTTCTACTGATTCTCTTATCTGCCAGCTCTCCTGGACACTGATTATTAAAGAGCCAAGCCCTGTGCCTGCCTGTCTTCTTCCTTCCAAACTCTAGGCAAAGTGTTGGGAGCTCTTAGGGCTGGCACATGGCTTCCTTATCACCTAGGGCTGCCTGACGAGTTGATCAGTCACAAACCTCCTTAGAAGAGAGGGAGGAGGAGAGAAGAGAAAAGGATGAAGACCAGAAGGGTGAAGAGGAGGGAGAAAGACCAGAAGGAGATGAGAGGAAAGGGAAGAGGGAAAAGAAAGAGGCAGGAGGAGGGAGGAGGAAAGGGAAAAAGGAAAAGGAAAGGTAAGGGGAAGGAAGATAAGGAGGAGGAAGAAGAAGAGGGTAGAGAAAGAGGAATAGGAGAATAAAAGAGGGGTAGGGAGAAGGTGGGCAGAAGACTAGGTGAAGAGAGGAAGAAAGTGTAAGGAAGAGGGCGAAAGTAACCAGGAAGAGGAGGGGGGAGTAAGGAGAAGGGGAAGGAAGAAGATCAGGAGGATGGTGGAGGAGGAAGAGCAGGATGGAGGAGGAAAGGCAGATAAGAGAATCAGGAAGAATGAGGAGTAGAATAATAATAACAATAGCTAGCATTTACTTGGCACTTTAAGGTTTGCAAAGCTCTTTACAAATATTACCTCGTCTTACCCTCACAACAACCCTGGGAGGTTGGTGCTTTTATTATCTCCATTTTACAGATGAAGAAACTGAGGCAAACAGGGTCATAGAGCTAGTAAGTGTCTGAGCCTAGATTTGAACTTAGAACTTCTTGACTTCAAGTCCAAGGGAGGAGCGTTAGGAGAGTTGAGTAAGAGTTGGAGGAGGAAGGTTAAGGAGGTGGAGGAAGATGACCAGGAGAGTGGAGCGTGTGCGTTCTTCTTGATCCTCATGACTTCTCATTTTCATGCATGGTAGGGAAGAGGAGGAGGAGGAGGAAGAGGGAGGAAGACCAGGAGGAGGAGGAGGAGGAATAATAATAATGATGGAGTCTAATTCTAGGAGAAGCAGGAGAAGGAGGTATTGGACCCGGAGGAAGAGGGGTGGAAGGCAAAAGAAAGAAACCTAATTAGGCCATTGGCAGCCTGGGGCTGGAGGGCTTGCCATATAGGAGAGGGGGCGAAGAACAGACTGTTGGGAGGGGACTGTCCTCTATAGCATTCACACCCTCCCCTCCTCCGCCAGTCTTCTGTCTGGGAAAACACCCATAGTCACCACAGCCCGTAGCCTGTTGTTTCTCGTCTAGTTGGTTTTCCCAGCTGCCTACGAGGGGAGAGTACACTGAGAGAGGCAATGGGCAGGGCAGATTGGCCAAGCCCGTGCCATGTCCTGCAGGTGGTTACTGGCTTGTCGAGGCAGCCCTGCACCTTAACACTGGTATATTGTCCAAACCTCAGAAAGATGCAGCCACTATAGGACGACCTCTTTTTTGGAACACAGAATGGGATTGTACATTGCGGTGCCTCTGACAGGTGGTCTCGCCTCCCTCCTTCCTTTCTTCTTCCCTTCCCTCTCTCCCTTCTCCTTCCCTCCTTCTTCTCTTTCTTCCCTCCCTCCCTTTCTTTCTGCAATCATCACTCCCTTTGCTCCTCTCTTCCTCTTCCCTCCCTTCTTTCTTCCCTCCTTTCTTCCCTCCTCCTTTCCCTTCCCTTCTTTTTTTCTCTCCATTCCCTCCTTCCCTTCTCTCCTCTTCCCTCCCTATCTTTTCTTTCATCCCTCCCTTCACCCTTCCTTCCCTCCCTCCTTTTTCTTTCTCCTCTCCCTACCTTTCTTCCTCCTTTTACTCCTCTCTTTGCTCCTCCCTTTCTCCCTTTTCCTTTCCTCTTTACCTCTTCCTTTCCCTTCTTTTTTCTCTTCATTCCTCCCTCCATTTCCTCCTCCCTCCCCTCCCCTTTCCTCCCTCTACTTGAATTTCCTTCCCTTCTCCCTTCTTTCCCTCTCCCTCCCTTCCTTGCTTCCTTCCTTCCTTCATTCCTTCCTTCCTTCCTTCCTTCCTTCCTTCCCTCACTCCTTCCTTTCCTTTCTTCCACCCTTCCTTCCTTCTTTTCTACCCTTCTTTCCTCTTCCTATTTGACCCTAATTTCTTCCTCTCCCATCTCTTCCTGTGCCCTTGCTCTTCCAAAATCTGCTTTCTACCCTTACCACAATAAATAGTAACAATAGCTAGCATTTGTATAGTGCTTTATAATATGTTATCTTCTTTGATCCTCACAGAAACCTTAGGAGGGAGTTACTATTAAAATCCCCATATTACAGATGAGGAAGCTGAGGCTGAGAGAGGTTGAGAGACTTGCCCAGGGTCACACAGCACATAAGTATCTGAGGCAGAATTTGAACTTGCATCTTCCACTTTCAAGTCCAATGCCATCTGTTGTTTTACCTAACTGCCTTGTCTCCCTGCTTTCCCAAGCCATGACCCCTGCTCTTGTCTGACTTTCTTCCCTTCAAAATCTTAGGCTGATAATTAACCAGCTCAATTTCATACCATCCTTTATCAGTGAGTACTTTGCTCTCTTGTCCTATTGCTTGACTAGGAAATGCTAGTTTTGATTTTGATCTGTCTCCTTATCCCTGTAATTGTGGATTTCTAGTCTCATCACTTTCCATACTCCAACCCTGGGTTGCTTCCACCATCTGCCTTCTTAGGTTCTCTTGTTGCTATATTTAAATGGAGGAGTCACACAACTGTGCTGACTGGGTCTACTACAAATTTGTTTTGTCTGATCTCCATTAGGCCTTCATTTCTGCAGGCCAATACTTTTACTCTTACCTGAATGACTCTCTGTCCTACTCTTGTGAGAATCTACTACCAAGTTTATCTTCTTTGCCCAAGCTACCTATTTTCCCCTTTCCACTCCTTTTAAACAGACGACCTTATCAAATACTTTTCTGGAGAAAACTGAGGCCATCTGTTAGGCATGCTCTCTTCTCCCCAATTTATACCCTAAATCTTCTGTCTGCCCAACATTTCTACTTGCTCTCCCCTGCTTTGCTCCAGTCTCAGAGGAAGAGTTAGCCTTTCTCCTTACAAACACCAAGGAGTTAGCCTTTCTCCTTACAAACACCAACTTCTCTACCTGTGCCCTTGGCCCCATCAATCAATCCATTAGCACTCGATAAGTTAGCATTTATTAGAAGTATGAAGACAAAAATGAAACAGATTCTGCTCTCAAGGAATATTCTTCCTGTCTCCACTGGAATCTCATTCTTGAATTATAATCTCTTCCTAATTTTCAGTCTTTCCTTATCCTCTGGCTCCTTCCACCCATAAATATGCCTAGATCTCCAGTCTTAAATTAGCCTCCCTTTGATCTTACCAGCATCTTACACTGTATGCCATAATAGCCTCAAAATGAATATATGAATTGAATATTAAAAATTATGTGCTTAAAATATTAGGAGAGAAGCACTTTCAGGGGGAAATGAACTCTTTTTTTTTTTCTGGTGAGGCAATTGGGGTTAAGTGACTTGCCCAGAGTCACACAGCTAGTGAATGTTATGTGTCTGACGCTGGATTTGAACTCAGGTCCTCCTGACTCCAGTGTCAGTGCTCTATCCACTGCACCACTTAGCTGCCTCCATGAAGTAAATTCTTAACCAAATAAGAGAGAGAGATGATCATAAAAGATATAATTCATAATAATATAACAGGTTTCCATGAACAAAATGAACATGAATAGCATGAGAAAAGAAGTTGCCAACTGGGAATAAAATCTTTGCATTAAATATTTCTGATAAGGAGCATTTAATATTCAATGTGTATGTATATATGTATACGTATATGTGCATACACATATGTATATCGCACTGGGAAAACATTGCATTAAATATCTCTAAAAGACTGAGAGCTTAAATATATATGTCTATACACATATATACACTTATACATATACATGTATGTGTAACAAGCACGTATATGAGACTTACACAAATAAGTTTGACTAAATTTGATGTGTAGCCTAGTAGTCATGTCTGACTCTTTGTGACCCTATTTGGGGTTTTCCTGGCAAAGATACTGGAGTGGTTTGCCATTTCCTTCTCTAGCTCATCTTACAGATGAAGAAACTGAGGCAAACAGGGTTCAGTGACTTGACAAGAGTTACACAGCTAGTAAGTGCCTGAGGCTGGATTTGAACTTGGGTCCTTCTGACTCCGGGGCCAGCATTCTATCTATGTGCTACCTAGCCACTCGATATGACCAAAAGCCATTCCTTAATAGATAAATGGTCAAAGGATATGAGTAAAACAATTTTCAAAAGAATTGCAATCATATGAAACATTGTTTCAAATAATTTTAAATTACAGAAATGTAGAGGCCAACCAGTTAGCAAAAAAGACTAAAAGGGGAATAGCCAATTTTGGAGGAGTTGTGAAAAGCCAGGCTCATTAATGCACGTCTGTAGCATTCTGGAAAACAATTGGACTTATACTAAGAAAATGACTCAAATGTCCATACTTTGATCATGCTTTG